GTTTTTTGGTAATTGCCACCTCTAAAACCCACGCTGCTCAAATGTTTAACTCTCAGAGCAAAGCATTTCCTGTCTACTTCTGCTCATTTATCACATCCTCTGCCTCTTCTAGACTTTTCAAGGGGAGAAAGTCCTCCTCGGTATGCACACACCGGCCAAGCAGATTACTTTTGGTCGGGCTGATTTATGACCTTGCCCCTCTCGGTCAAACCTCATGGCCCAGCGATTCATCAACGCCGCGACAATGGCGAGCAGACAAGTGTCTGAAGGAGCTGGCTCGCTCCAGGAAGAAATAACTCACTTATCTGGTGCTGAAATTGTCGTGCGCGTGATTAGGCAGAGAAAATATGACCGAGGCAAACAAACAAGCCATTCATTACACGTAACCTGGTTACTTCCAAAAAGGGGACCTTTATCAAGGTAGATGGCACACCCTCAGGGCCCATAAACAGCTATCAGAGCACTTCCTTGAGTTGTGTGGGAGTTTATTAATCCTTTTGTTGCACCCTTACCTCTTTATGGCACCAATGAGGAGATTGGATCTATGGGTATGACACAGTCGAATGCAGGAAATGCCCGTACAAGGAGCAGAGGAAGTGAGGAATGAAAAAAGGGCCGCCTGGTAGGAGTAGATAAGAAGCTCGGCGGAGATCTTTGAACTCTGAACCCAACCCATTTTGAACGCTGTGACCTCAGCGCCTGAGTCAGACGGGGAAGCACAGAGGAAACTGGGAACACTGAGGAGAAACTGATGCAGTGAAACAAACACACCTTTCAGAGCTGAAGAAGAAAGAAGGAAATCAAGAGCAGCAGACTTGAGATGAGAAACGTCCCTGTGAGGGCAGAATGATGAAAGGCAGTACAAGGCTTCTCTCTTTGTGTGGCCGGGAGCTCCAGGGAACGACCCGTTTCCAGACTGATGTTAATGAATGTGGGGAATTAAAACGGTTGTTTTGTTCGCTTGCTGTTTTTTATTTTCACCACTGAAAACTTTTAAAAACTAAAAATTGGTCTAGGATAAAGTGTTGTTGTTTTCTTGAAAGG